CTCCCAAAGTGCTGGGATTACAGGTGTGAGCCACTGCGCCTGGCTAGTGTTTGGTATTTCTGCAGTGGCTTCTCATCATGACGATATGCTTCAAGAGCTGGGAAGTGTAGAGACGGCTTTCCAATTTAGTAGATGGCTTCCTGATTTCAAAAGAGGCAGTGTCCCCTTTGGTGGCTCAGTCTTGCAGCATAGCTCTCAAAGTCATTCCTGAAAGTTCAACATGGAGGCTGGTGTTTCCGCCCTCCAACCAAACAAGTCCAGAAGCCATTTTACACCCTGTAATAAATCCTTCTGTACTTAAACCATCTAGAATGTTTCTGTTCTCTGAAACCGGACCCAGACAATGTAACAGGAAAGCAGAAATAAAACGTAAAAAGCCAGGTGCAGTGGCTCACACGTGTAATCCCTGCACTTTGGGAGGCTGAGGCAGGCAAATTACCTGACAGCAGGAGTTTGAAAGAAACCTGACCAACATAGTGAAACCCAATCCCTACAAAAATACAAATAATTAGCTGGGCTTGATGGGGAGAGCCTGTAATCCCAGTTACAGGCTGAGGCACAAGAATCACTTGAACCCAGGAGGCGGAGGTTGTAGTGAGCTGAAATCATGCCACTGCATTCCAGCCTGGGTAACAAGAGAAAGACTCCATCTCAAAAAAAAAAAAAAAAAAAAAAAAAAAAAAAAAAAAAAAAAAAAAAAAGCATGGTAAATAACACAAAATACAACAGAAAAATAAATCCAATTTTAATTAATAAAATAGCTAAATTCTAGCTAACAGATATATTTTCAGATTAAATGTTCTAAAAAAGTCCAGCTGTATGCTATGTCTGAGAGACAGGTGAAAAACAGAATATTATAAATGAATTGACACAAATATATCTTGGAAACATAATGGTGAGGGGAAAAAGTTGCAAAATGATGATTCAGTATGATGTCATTTTTGTAAAGTTTAAAAACATTTATTCCATATAGCATTGCTGAATCTCTACATCATATGTAATAAAAGTATAAGCCGGGCGCGGTGGCTCACGCCTGTAATCCCAGCACTTTGGGAGGCTGAGGCGGGTGGATCACGAGGTCAGGAGATCGAGACCATCCTGGTCAACATGGTGAAACCCCATCTCTACTAAAAACTACAAAAAATTAGCTGGGCATGGTGGCGCGTGCCTGTAATCCCAGCTACTCAGGAGGCTGAGGCAGGAGAATTGCCTGAACCCAGGAGGCGGAGGTTGCGATGAGCCGAGATCGCGCCATTGCACTCCAGCCTGGGTAACAAGAGCGAAACTCCGTTTCAAAAAAAAAAAAAAAAAAAAAAAAAAGTATAAAAGCACAAAAATAAAAAAGTATAAAAATACAAACTGGAATGATATGTACGGTGACTGTCCCTGGGGAGGAAGAAGAAATGAGAGTGGGGCCGTCGCTATGTCTAATTTTGTATGTGTTTAATAAATCCCAAGTACATGCAGCAAATGTATTACTGTTTCATCTCGATAGTAGGGGGCGTGGGTGGTATTAACATTATTTTCTGTCCTCTTCTGAAGGTCTCTCATATTTCCCACTTTACAAAACACTGACACATTCTCAGGGCTCTCCTGGACATCTCTGTGCACATCAACATTCATGCTGAGAGTAGCTTTTGGACTCCAAAGAGGAAACTCGCCGGGAGTCGTGGCCCACGCCTGTAATCTCGGCACTTTGGGAGGCCAAGGCAAGCAGATCGCTTAAGCCGAGGAGTTCGAGACCAGCCTGGGCTAAATAGCGAGACACCATTGCTACAAAAACATTTTTAAACTAGCCGGGCGTGGTGGCTTCCGCCTTTGGTCCCAGCTATTTGGGAGGCAGGGGTGGGAGGATCGCCTGAGTCCGGGAGGTCGAGGCCGCGTTGAGCCGAGATCGTGCCACTGCACTCCAGCCCGGGTGACAGAGCGAGACGCCCCCGAAAGAAGGGGAAACGCGCGGAGGCCGAGCGCTGGTTTTCCCAGGTGGGGTTGGCACCTGCTGAAGCTGCCACAGGGAGACCTGGAAAGAACCTGGAAAGGGGCCCGGGGCCGCGGAGCGGAGGCGGCTGCAGGGCCGGATGCCGTCTGCGGTCTGCGCAGAACGCGAGCCCGTTTTTAAAGCTGAGGCACAGCTTTGGTTGACGGGGGCGGGTGCGGGCGGGGTGAGAGGTCAGGAAAACAGGCCGGAGGCCCGGGGCCGGGAGCGGCAGGGCTCCGGGCAGACGTTCGGCCTCGGGCGGAGCGAGCGCGCCCCGAGGGGCCCGAGGTGACCTGCTGGAAGTCCGGGCGCCCGGGTTCCACCCCGAGGAGAAAATCCTCGTAATTGGGCTGGGGGCGGGGGATGCGGGCACAGGCCGCGTTCTCCGCGTCGCGCAGACGCAGGGGCCGGCCCGGGTCGCGGAGGCTCCGTGGGGCGGCTCCGCAGCGGACCCTGACGCCGGGGCGCGGTGCCGGGCTGACGGGGGTCCTCCCGGGTGGCCGGCGGTGGGTCCCGAGCCAGGCCGGGGAGCGGGGAGCAGCCCTCAGCGCAGGAGCGCGGGGCCCGGGAGGCTCCGGGCCGAGGCGGGCGGGAGACCGAGGCCGGGGCGGGGCGGGGCGGGGCGGGGCCCGGCGCGGGGGGCGGACCTCGGCGCGCTCCGGGCCGCTCGCTGGGTCCCGGGCCGCGGCGGCCCCTCTGCCGGGTCGCGCCGGACGACGGGCTTCGGGCGGCGGCCGGGGCGGCCTGCGGACAGACGCGAGGGCCGAGGCGCAGGCCCCGCGGCCGCCGTCTCCAGCTTCTGCCCGCGCGGGCCCGCGCCATGGCCGCCTCGCCGGGCTCGGGCAGCGCCAACCCGCGGAAGTTCAGTGAGAAGATCGCGCTGCACACGCAGCGACAGGCCGAGGAGACGCGGGCCTTCGAGCAGCTCATGACCGACCTCACCCTGTCGCGGGTGAGGGCCTGGGCCGGCGCGGGCGGGGGCGGCCCTGGTCGCGGGCGGGACCCGCGCGGCGGGTGAGAGGTCGCGGGGCCGAGGCGGTGGCGGGGCCGAGGCGATGGCGGGGCCGAGGCGGTGGCGGGGCCGAGGCGACGGCGGGGCCGGGCGGGGGCTGCTCCCGGGAACCGGCGGCTGGGAGCGGAGCCGGAGCGGCCGCGGCCTCGGCGCTTCCCCGCCTGGCGACACCCGCTAGCGGTTCGCGATCCCGGGCGGAGGTGGGAGGGCCGTCGGGCCCCGCGTGCGGGGAGATGGGCCGGGGTGAAACCCGCGGGGGCGGGCGGCCGGGCGGGGGCGGCCTGAGGGGGCGGGAGGAGGACGGGGAGCCCCGAGAGGAAATCGCGAGCTGCGCGGAGGCCGGCCGGGCGGTGCGGCGCAGCTTCTGGTCGCTCCGAACATCCCCCGCAGCGAGCCCTGCCGTGCTGCCGGCGTGGAAGGCCGCGGGCACCCCAGGGCCCCACGCGCCCGTGGGGGGAGCTCTGGGCACAAGTCCGTCTGGGGCCGGCCCTGGGGTGGCTCGGGGTGTGGGAACCACGACGGCATTCGGTGTTGAGGGTGAGGCTCTGCTCTTCCTACTTCTTGGAGGTCCTTCATTGGGTCCAGTTGACTTGGTTGGGCCCCGGATATTTAGTGAGAACTGACAAGCGTCGCTGGTGACTGGGGAGGGACCCGGAGGATTGAGTAAGGCGCGAGCCGGGACAAACACCTGGTGAGATTAGGTCACCGCTGAGTGAGGCAGTGGAGGATGGAGAGCCTACCCGAGTGCCCGCGCAGGGCTGCAGAGAAGGGAGGTCAGCGGCAGTAAGGCTGGCCTTGGCGATCCTGAATACTGACCTTGGAGGACCATCGGGAGGATGGGGGAGGATCTGCAGATACCAGAGGACCGAGGTGGAGGAGGCAGCTGGCAGAGTTGCAAACCAGCTGAGTTGCAGACACGTTATATCTGGCCAGCGCAGTGTTTGGGAAAAATTCTTGAATCTGTTGCCAAAATTTTTAAATTGGAAGACTTCCACACAAAATCCAAATTTCTTCATTTATTTGTATATATTAAAAATTGGAAGACCTGGTAACACTAATCCTGAATTCCTACCCACCGCCTGGAGCTGGGTGATGGTGGCCCTTCCAAACAGAGCAAGAACTCTAGTTTGCCATCGTTTACACCACTCTGTCGCAGTCCCCCAAGGGAAGGCTAGGTGGCAATTGGCATTTATACTCATGATGGTGTTTTCTTTCAGTGAAGATAAGGAAAAAGTGAAATATTTCCTATGCTTACATTTCTGTTCACACTGAGAAAAAATAAATATACATATATAGAGAAAGAAGCTGAAGATTTCAAGAGAATGTTTTCTTATATCCTATCAGCTTCACTCATTAATTACCTGGCTGCCATCCACTGATATTTACATTCGTGACCTTGGTTAGATTCAGGGATGAACTCGGTAAGCTCAGAGCACATTGAAAAGAATGGGGGTGTGAAAGCTGAGGATTAGTGCTGGGGCCTGTATTGTTATGTGTCGTTTAGATACATACTGTATATTGTTATGGACAAATGCACTGTATATGTCTGTATACCTGTGGTACATCCAATCTTCCACCCCATTCATGAATCTCTTTAAAATATCCCTGACAGGTAAGGTCATGAGTCATGTACAGACTGTTTTAAAGGCAAATCATTTTGCATAGATTCTCACTGTTGACTTACTTTCAAGTAAAAAAAAGTGTTTTCTTCCTTTCGAGAGACCATGCTATGTAATACAGCTCAAGGTCTCTTGAATTTAGCAAGCCTAATCAACTGTGGCCCATATGATAATTCACTTACCACTTTATTCTAATTACTGCAAAATTGTGTCATTTTGGCCTTCACCTGGTACAGGGAACCATTTACATGTTCTGTCCGTGTTGTCTTCGTGGCTGGTTATAAGTGTAGTAATACTGCTTGGCTCCATCGTGTTCATAAACACATCTGTAAATGATAACACTGAATTTGCCTACTAATGTTTGCTTATTTAAAAATCTTTTTTTTTTTGGCATATATATATTTTATTTTACTTTATTAAATCATACTAATATTCTTTAAGGGACAAACAGGTCAAGTAGGCTATAGTGAAGAAATCTTATTTTGGACAGTTAAGAAACCACTATGATACTTCCAGGTATTATCTTCAGTGATGCTTCTTATCTTTATTCAGGGACTCCAGGTAATATTCAGCTCCTAAAGCTACCACAAATGCAGCAAATCCCCATTTGAATCCTTTAAAGAATACATCAAAAAAGGTAACCTTTTGTGCAAAGCCACCCATGTATCTCCAAGCTTCATTGCGGCCCCATGGATCCCTTAGCCCTTTTGCAGCCAGCCTCTTCTGGACAGTTTCTAATGGTGTCCCTTCTATCTTCCATTGTCTATAATCTGGAAGTTCCATTTTACCATGTCCATGTTCATGTCCATGTCCATGTGCCATGTCTGTGTCTGAAGTGAATCTAAAAGTCTGATGAAGATCAACCTCCACTTAAGGAAGCTGGCTCTAGTACAGAAAAAGAGCTGGTATCCTTTCCCTGACGGCAATCTGACCTCTCTATTTAAAAATCTTACAGGCTCAAGCCTGTAATCCCAGCACTGTGGGAGGCCAAGGC